TAGACACCCAATGAGCCATCATCATATAGTTTCTTTTTTTTTTTTTTTTTTGAGTCAGTCTCTCACTCTGTCACCCAGGAAAGAATCCAGTTGCATGCTCACGGCCATCGCAGCCTCGACCTGCTGGGCTCAGGTGCTCCTTCTGCTTCAGCCTTCTAAGGAGCTGGAATTACAGGCGTGTGCCTCCTCACCTGGCTGATTTTTTGTTTTATTGTAGAGATGAGGTGTCACCAAGTTGCCCAGGCTGGTCTCAAACCCCTGGGCTCAGGCAATCCTCTCACCGCTGCCACCCAAAATGCTGGGATTACATGTGTGAGGCACTGGGTCCAGCTGAGTGGAGGGTCTTTATGCCTTAAAAGGATAGACACCATTAGAAAAGAACTCTTGTCAGTAATAGCTAAAACAGCAGTACAAGATGTAGCTGATTATTGTCTAACATTATCTTTGGTAGACACATTAAGGGATTTTGTTGGAACTTTTCTGAACTAACAACTGTGTCTTAAAGTTCTGCCTGATAAAAATAAGAAACAGTTCCTTGCAGTCTGGTAAGATGGACTTCCCTGGTCTTTGGTCACATATCCCCATAAGACTTCGTGAGTATTAAATGGGATAATATAAGCACCACACAGCATCGCCTGGGATTAGTAAGTGCTCAATATATGTTAGCCACTATTATAAAAGCTTTCACAAATAAACAGATCTGAGTTTGAGAGAGTTGCACTGAAGGCTTTGTTCCGTGTGAACACACTGTACTTTTCTGTAGCTCAGGACACTATACAAAGGTGGTTTACTGACTTGGCTAAACACATCTGCATATGCCTGGAGAATGTTAGCAGTCAGCGTTCCCTCTTAGTCTAAGCTGTCATCTTTTGAGTGATCTTATGCCTTCCTGTCTAAAACCTTTCCCTGCCCCTTGGCATCTTGATCCTGCTGACTGTAACCCAGGTCCGAGATGATGCCTTGGATGCCAGTTCCTCCACTGCCAAGCCCGGGGCCCTGGCTGGGTTCTGGCCTGGGATTATCTGAGCTGTTTTCCACTCAAGAGTGGTCCTACAAAAGAGAGTGTGAAACAGCAGGGACAGCTGTGGTTTTGGCCTGAGACAGTTGTGTTCGGGACTCCTGGCTGCATGGATTTCTCTCCCCTGGGAGACTTTAGAGGAGGTCATGTGCCTCTGTGAGTCTCAGATATCTTCACAGTGAAGATACTTTCTTACACAGTTTATTCTCGAAGATAATTATAAATTATAATTATAACGACTAACACATTCTAAATAAGATGATTTAAATATCGAATATTTATATATAAATGATTTATTTTATATCAATTGTTATTATTATTATTTTGAATTGGAGTCTCCCTCTGTTGCCCAGGATGAAGTGCAGTGAAACACTCATGGCCACTGCTGCCGCGACTTGCTGGGCTCAGGCGATCCTTCAACCTCAGGCTTCCAAGTGGCTGGAACTGCAGGTGTGTGCCACCGCACCCGACTAATTTTTTTTTTTTAATTGAGTTGGAGTCTCACTCTGTCACCCAGACTGGAGTGCAGTGGCACACTCCCAGCCACCCCAGCCTTGACCTGTGGGTTTCTGTGATCCTTCTGCCTCAGCCTTCCAAGTAGCCAGAACTACAGATGTGTGCTACCATGCCCGGCTAATTTTTGATTTATTGTACAGACGAGGTCTCGCCAATTTCTCAGGCGGGTCTTGAACCTGCAGGCTCAGACAATCCACTTGTCTCGGCCTCCCAAAGTGCTGGGATTACAGGCTGAGCCACCAAGTGTTTTTTTTTTTTAATTGTAGAGATGAGGTCTTGTCAAGTTGCCCAGGCTGGTCTCGAACCCCTGGTCTCAGACAATCCTCTCGCCTTGACCTCCCAAAGTACTGGGATTATAAGCTTGAGCCACCATGTATGGCCTATAAATTATTAAGGTTAATATAAATAAATAATATAATTTTTTTTTGGAGTCAGGGTCTCACTCTGTTGCCCAGGCTGGAGTGTAGTGGCATGCTCACGGCCACCCCAGCCTCAGCCTGCTGGGCTCAGGCAATCCTTCTGCTTCAGCCTTCCAAGTAGCTGAAACTACAGGCGTGTGCCACCATGCCTGGCTAATTTTTTGATTTATTTTAAAGATGAGGTCGGGTCAAATTGCCCAGGCTGATCTCAAACCGCCGGACTCAGGCAATCCTCTCACCTCTGCTTCCCAAAGTGCTGGGACTGCAGGTATGAGCCACTGTGCCTGGCAAAAAAAATTTTACATAACTTATTTCTAATTACAAATTATAAATATAATTATAAGTTATAAATAAGATGATTTAAATCTATATAATTATACATACATTATTTAAATTATTAAATTTAATATAAATAAATAATTTGGGGTCGGGCTTGGTGGCTCAGCCTGTAATCCCGCACTTTGGGAGGCCGAGGTGAGTGAATTGCCTGAG